TGAGACAACAAAGGTAAGTTTCCCTGTTTGATCCTCCAAACATGCGCAGGTCTTGTTACTGATATGAATTATTGTAATCTTGGTCCAAATTTATACTTAACTTTATATTTTGGTACATCTGATGATGTCATTTTAAAAATATATATTTTTTTATGTTTTGATCCGTTATTCAGTATTTGAGTAGACTTTTTACCAAATATTTTTTTACTCTTACTTGAGTAATTTTTTGGACGGCTACTTTTTACTTTTACCTAATTACAAATATGTTAAAGTAGCGCTACTCTTACTCGAGTACAATTTGTGGGTACTTTACTCACCTCTGGTAATATATATAAAATAGTCTTTATATATAATAGTACTCCTTAAATATAATTACATGAGCTGTGATTGTGTTATTATATTGAAACAGTGAAAAACAGATGATTTAAAACAGATCAGATTGAAAACCTTGAAAATCTAAGTTGCCTTTTTTAACCTTTATCACACTTTAGGTAAGTTAGGTTTCAACTAAATGTATCTCCAAATATGACAAAAGTTATGAGACCTAGTATTTAACATTTTCAGTGAGTGATTTAACATCTTAAGTCTATTAACTGTTAACTTCAGACAAAATCGATATTTAGCACAAATTAGATCCCACAAGTTTGGAAAAATACTGAAACCAAATGTGCAGAGAATCCTGAAAGTGGATGAGATTTAATATAAGATTTAACATCAGCCGTAGATATTCTAAGCGTACATGTAGCAGATACATTTATTTCAGATAAATGTTCACTTTTGTGTTTTAAAAACACTGAACTGAAAATGAACTGAACTGTTTCCAGATGGGTCGCCTGTCCTTGATGATGTTTTCTCTGGCCGTGTTGCTGTTTGCTGCAAACAGTTTAGAGCCTGTGAACGAAGCCCTGCTAGAAGATCTAGTTCCACAAATCTTGAATCGGTAAGTTGAACTTTTTTATTTTTATAGGAAAACTGGTTGCAAATTGATTTCTGATATTTAAGTTGGTATAATTAAGGATGTTTTTAAAATATGTCTTTGTTCTTCCTCAGCTGCCTTGGTCAATGGTGCGTAAGTTACAACATTCCTGATTTTAAGTTGATCCAAACAGCAGAACAGTTTAAAACTAACATAAAAGAAGTGACATTTAATCTGTAGTTTACATTTTAAATAATAAACTACAGAAATAATACAAGCTACTTTTTGACAGGTCTTTAATCAGTTTCTAACAATTTCTAGTTTTTATTTTCATTGAGTTAAGAGACAGTAAGTTGTAGAGTAGAATTAGAGTCAAAATCTTCATTTTTTTCTGTGTCTCAGGTTTTTTATTCTGGTTAAATAATTATTAGTATAGTCTTCTTGTGTAAAAAATTTTGTGTGAAAAATAATAAAACTTATTACACAGATCATCAAGTCCCATTGATTAAATCCACATCCTTAAACATCAGTTCTTGTTTAACTGTGAAGTACCTGCCTAGTTTGGGATTGGATTGGACCAAATATTGATCTACAGTAAATAGATTGTTCATAAAGATTTTTTGATCTGTTTTTTTTTTTTTTTCCACATCTACAATGTGTTTTAATAAAAACACACAAAACCAGGCTTGGTGAATTTGTGAATTTCTTCCTGACATCTTTATATCTGATATTTTGAATGCTAATTAGATTTCGATATCATTTGACTCTGGTTTTGAACTGTGTGTTCAGTAAACTATTCTTTGTTTCTTTTGACAGGAACGGCCCCATGTACAGTCTGGCTGTAAGAATCCCACTCAACAGTGAAACTAATATGTATGATATCAACCAAGTAACTGATGCTGCCGACGAAATACAGAAGAAAATCTTAAAATCTGAGGTGTACACTGGAACAAGGGTTGTGGCGGCCACAGCTGCTCCTGGAGAGCATGCAGAGTATCGTACTCTGCAGAACTTGAACACCATACTCAATAATCGAAATACAGAAAATGACCTGTTGTTTATTTATGTCTATGCTTCTCCATGTGCTACGAGATGTACAAACATCAGGAATAAGGGTAATATTCTGGATCTCTTAAAAGGCTATAAAAAATATAAGCCTGTCTTTGTGTTTTCTAAAATATTCAAGCCTCTTGGCATTCGAGCTGAGGATTCTGCAGAGGATCCGCAGGTCGCTCTGAGGAACCTGGGGGGAGCAATCGGTCTGCAGAGCATATTTCGTTGTGATAAAGTGAATTATATAATGAGATGTGTAAACTGTAAGAGCAATGGAAATGTTGCTGGGTGGTGTTATGATGATAATCAACCACCAGCCTAAAAAGGCAGGGAGTAGATAGATGGGGCTCCCATGATTCATTACATGAACTTTAGCTTTGCAGGAACATGAGATTTATTCTTAAAATAATATCTAAGTATTTGTTAGTCAACTGAGTCCATGTAGCTTATTTGAATCTAACCCAAGCAATTAGAGATTAACTGATTTCACTGACCAAGAAATGATGATGAAAACTGTATTTTGTATTTATTCAGGTCATTTTTGTGTGTTTTTAAAGTTTGTTTCATAATCTGACATTTTAAATGTGTGTTAAAAAGTGCCTTATATAAATATTTTTCTGACACTTGATGTACTTTTGCACATTTGTGTAGATTGCAAACAGCTGTTGGTGTAGAATAAACCAGACTATTTGACCAACACTTATTGAAACTGTAGAGTTATTATCAGAATTATGTTATTGATTTATAATCTATTCACAATAATGATGTATTTACTGGACTTTAATTTTTTCCTTTTATGTCTTTATTTTCCTTTTTTCCTTTCAGAATAAAGCTTTGCTCAGCATTCAGTCTGTTTTATGTTTATTTCTGTTATTAGGAAACAATTTCCTGACCGTATCACAACAAAGTAAAAATTTCCAAAGTTTTGACCAAGAAGAAAAAAAAAGACATCAAACACATTTGACAATAAAATGCATCTATTTAAGAAAGGCTGAGGTCTTTATTATCTTTATAAAAATAAATACTGTGATTGAAGTGAAGTCAGTTTGTCAGTGAAGTCTTGTTTTGCTGCTGATTTAATAAAATCAAAAAAGCTTAGATTATGTCTCATGAATGTACATTCAGTATCCCATCAGGAGAGAAAGAACTAGAAATGTTTGCAAATTTATTAAAAAAGAAAAACTGAAATATCACATGGTAATGTGATATTTCAGTTTTTCTTTTTTATATATACATTTGCTAAAATTTCTACATTTCTTTTTTTCTGTATATGGGATGCTGAGTACATTCATGTTAAATAATATTAACATTTTTGATTTTAGAAAATGGCTGCAATGAAAGAAAGAGTAAAACATTTAAAGGGGTTTCAATAATTTCCAGTCCCACTGTACCTGTTTAGTAAGTTTTCTTTGTTCAGGGCCACTAACGGCTCGACTGAACCGCGTTTCGTCCGTACATGACTTGCAATCAAGCACAAATGTGCATTTGATCACCATAAACAGAAGAGTTTTTACAGCTAACTCATACTAACTTCCTCATGTGTTTCTAGAAGCAGAAGTGCAGAAAGAGATGAACAAACCATCTTTTCTAATCTCTGTATCTCTGTTTCCATCTGCAAGTTAGAATGAGGCGGCAAAACTGGTTTAGGCATTTCTCACCATCTTGAGTCTTTCAAAGGACTTTTCAGAGATAAGGTTGAGAAAATGATCTGTTCTTGCATGATTAGTTTCAAAAGAGGCGAAGACTGGTCACACCTGCAAACATTCACATGCTGACATAAACTCATCCAGTTATGAACATAAACTCCAGCAGTATATTTCTCTCATGTTATACCATCACAACATGATGACAGTTTTAACAGTTAAATATCAAATATATATATATATATATATAAACGTATCTTTGTTCAAGTTACTTACTGCAGCTTTAAGGTCAAATGTGGTTTGTTTTATTATCAGATGTACGTAAAATTAGTTTTATCATTTCATTAGCATAGCTCAGTGTTGTGGTCAAGACCACCAAACCCAAGACCAAGACAAGACCAAGACCAGAGTGTATCGAGACCAAGACAAGACCAAGACC